GAGAGAGAGGGAGAAGAGGGAGGAGAGAGGAGAGGAGGAGAGAGAGAGAGAGAGAGGAGAGGGAGAGGCAGAAGAAAGAACTACAGGCAAAGTGGGGGTTTTCGTAGAGAGAACCAGGTGGTGTTAAACATGGGTTAACAACATGAACTCACCTTGTAGAGGTGTGAAAATTATGAAATCGTGCCTGAATTGAGGAAACATATATATCTATAATCTACTAGTATAAGCAGATAGTTTGAGACTTTTGTCACTTTAAAGCCTTCTCATTGGCCAAGTTTCAGATTTGCTTTTCAGGGTTAGGTATCGGCCAAATTCTAGAACTCTCATTGGTTTACAGCTTAAATGATAGGCCAAAAGTAATAGAGTAGTTTAAAGAGGTTAATAATATCATAATATGGTAATTGACTCTACAAATAGGTCAATGGGAATGATGTCTCAGATGATGAAGGGCCATAGCACAGATGACCAAGCATCACATTCACAGTACAGATGATGAAAGATCATGCTCATAGCATAAATGATGAGGGACTATATCACTAATATAACTATTGACTCTACAAAGAGGTCAAAGATACTATTTCATTAGAGATAAAGAAGGATCAATGATATCATATTATGATGACTTATCTTATGACTTGGATACTGTTAATGGTATTATGTAGTAGGATCAAAAGTACAAAATAATCTATGAATAATTGAATGTATGTGTGGAATCATAAGCGGTCACTCGACTGTCTCGGTCCCGTCAAATGTTTGGTGGCGGGGTGGCCACGCTCGGGCAAACTAAACAGAATGTAGTCGCAAAAGCACAATAGGACCAGAAAGGAATTTAACTAGAGGCTAAAGAGATAGAATAACAATACAAGGAGTCAAAAAATTGGTCAAAAGAGGGAACACAAGCTTAAGAGAGATATAAATCATGATTCCTTACCTGCCTAAAAAACAATTAACAAACCAACTAGCAAGAGACACTACCCACCCCCACCCTCCGCCTCGAATCCCTCTTGTAGAGCTGGCAACCCATCCAACTAAGCTACTGAAAAATCCCACTATACCAATTACCCAAGCCTAACCAATCTCACGGGCTAAAAAAACAAGAGAAAAAACTACCAAAGCCGTCACATCCCGGAAGGAGCGCGGAGCTTACGGCCCGCAAGAGGGATAGCCCCCCGAGTGCCGAAGAAGTCACCGCTTGATGACCTGGCCAAATAAAAATACTTCCCAGAATTACTATACATGATCCATAATGAATGAGACCAGCGCACCACCGCCCGTTGGGATGAAAAGGTTAGTTAAAGAACTGCAATCACAGGTCGCAGGCTGGGGGAAAGGCCATCCTCGTTGCTCCCGCAAACCCCCGGCATAACTATCCACCGAGGTAGTAGGCTGGATGTAATAGAAAATTCCTACCCAATCTTATAGTATCAAGCTTCTACGAGACTCCATTCACCGGTACCGTCCTCGCGCATATTATGGGGGTCGCCGAGATAATACAGGTCAATTTTCGGTGGCGATACCCCCCAGCGGTTGCTCGTTACCAGCTCTTTTAAAGTTCCTACACGGATTCTCAGCCACAAGTTGAAACTAAGACCGGCGGCGAAACACTGCATACTAGGAACACCTGGAAATTCTTATGCACTGACTTGTAGTTACTTGTGATATTTTTTTTACTGTTGCAGCTGTTGTTATTGTTAGAGCTGGTGATATTCTTGAGGTTGCCGATATGGTTTGAGAAGTTTTTTCGAAACAAAGCCTTGACAGGTGTTGGGAATGCTCTTAACCTGATCGCCTATTAGCCAATTTTGACTCATGTGGGGAAGAGCACAGCGCTATACCTTGGAATTATCTTCCCACAAGCTTTTGCCACTGGTTGATGTTTGTTTTTGTTTTTGGATCACATGCTCAAGTCGCGGCCTCAATTCTTCTGGGCGGTAGGTAACGAATAGCTTCTAGAACAGGGAGATGAGGAGTGATAGAGGAATGACACAATTCCCGAAGAGAAAAAAGAAGAAATTATGTTGATGCTATGGCAGCCCACACAGAAGAGGGATGTGCTAGGGATCTAAAATTCTTAGCCACGGGAAGGGGAAACACTTCAAACTCAGCACCTCAGCGGGTGGGGAGCGGGGGGGATGCGCGCAACGCCTCTCCGGAAGGGGCGGCCACTGTATTGTGCTGCGTTGTATTGAACGACGTCCTAACACATTTATCTTCGACTCGAGCATTCGTCGTATAAGGCTACCCCGGTGAGAAAAAGCTTTGTGCATTATCTTACAAACCCGAAACTCCTGATATTCACCCGGGATATAGGGATAGTGAGTATATGAGACATGCACTATTGCTTAAAAAATGCAGGGGAGAACAAAAACAGTTGAACTCGGTTTAGAAAAGCAACCCTCACAAAGCTAAACTCGGTGTGAATTGGGAGAAAATGCACTAGCGTATATACCCGGCGCTGCTCCCTAGCGTCATTCATCACCTGGGCTATTTATAGCGAAAACCATGCATGAGGGATTGAGCAGCGATACGAGTTTTTAGTTTTCATGGTTCGTAGATAGACTTGCACATCTTATCGCATTCCATAGCAAGCTAATTTATTGGATACCGAGTCTTGTATCACAGTGTGGCTCCGATTCAGGCTTCCGGCGCAAGAGCCTCCTTCCCACCTGCCGTTTATGGATTATGAAGGGGGCGTCCGTCTCGGGTGTCACGATTTAATGTAATTTACCGGTATTTACCCTAGCTGGACCCATCCGAAATGGAGCTCAATCTCTGTCTTGTAGATCTCCCGGAGACGCGACCATGTTTCCATGACCCCGATATAGCCGTGCGCAGTCGAATGTGATTCTTGGCTTGGCTGCATCTCGAACCCTGATACTTTTTCTTGGAGGGGGGACACGAGTGGGGGGGGAATGACCCGGGGATTCTTGGGCTCTGCACATATCCTCTACTTCCGATTTCGCAAAAACAAAGCGGTGATGAAACCCAAGCGGGAGACTCATTCAGCTACCCTTTTCCGACTACAATGGGTTATCTCCAAAAAAATAATACCGCAACAGCCTCTATCAAGTGAACGGTGGCATGCGCAGGCGGATTTTCTCGGGGAGAATTTATTCTCAATCAGTTGCTTACCTGCTGACCGCCCCCCGTAGGGAAGCCGTGAACTTCCGCTTCTTAAGGCAGCCTAAGCGCCTAGCTGTGTAAACAGGGGTTTTTAGATGGTACCCTCCAGCTACTCGGACACGACGTGATGGAGACACTGGCGATAAGCCCAAATGTGACCCCCCAAAGCACCTTTTAGCCTTCCTGCGAAAAAACACCACCGCCCCTATTAATTCTCTTGAATGGAGTGCCCGGTATGATAATAAGATAGCGTAATGGCGAGTTTTGCCCACCTGAATACCCTGTCCATCAGGTTACGGTAAAAATGGAGAGTGCTCCAAGATATCTGATATGACAGCTTGAAAGGACAGAGTTTAAGAGGCACCACATATATTAGGAATTTCATGGGCTCTTAGTGCAAGTGACAGCTTCAATGGCGGCCGCCTAGGCCAGATCGCTCAGGTCCTCCATTACCAATACGGTTCTGGTAGTCTTTTAGTGCTCTAGTTGTGGCCGGCTTAGTACCCTGTGCCAACTCCCGGCATTGAGGTGTGACATACGTAACACCCGCAGAGTTGTTGAAGCCGTGGGAGTTGGGCGAAGGGTAGTTGGTTGTCACTGATTACAGAGCTTTCGGGAATGTTGGAGGTGGCTTCTTCCGTTCTGGGGTTATCTTGATTTGAAGGGAGAAGTTTGTCTATCCAATCCTTTCCTTGATTATCGCAGGTATGTCTTGATTATTTGGGACCTGCATGGAGGATATTAGGGTCGCGTAGTGATCTATGAAAGAAACAGCATGCTTTCGCAGTGATTTATTTATATTTCTCTCATTACTATTAATTTAGAGAAGATGCCGAAAGAGGGAACGAAGTTCCTGACCATACCTTCTCCACTGTTCCTCCTTGCCGGTCAGCCCCAGTCTAGTCCCCTCCTTATACCATTTCCCAATTTATCCTCCCTGACATCGATCCTCCGGAAAAAATTAGGCAAATAAGGGTAGCAGGGTGGGTTCTAACGAACGCAGTAGGGAGAACTTACGTCTGGAATCTCATGACTTTGGAGGGACAGGTCGGCCACTGCCAACAACACCTTTCCCTCGTTCCCGTCATTTTTGGGTAGTTAGAAGTTTACCCTACTGTGGCGAGCTGTTTTAGCAATAGTGTTTTTGAGCAGTGGTTAGGGGCTTTTGAGCATAAGGATAATGGTAGTAGGTTTGGTAGGATATAGGGCTTTTGAGAGGGGGCAAGGGACTGTGTTTCGGTTGATTTGTGGGGGCACTGGGGAATAGGACTGCCGGGGCCCTTATTGGGAGAGAACAACCCACACAAGAGACAACGACAGTGCGGCTTAGTTTTCATCTGTCTTGTCTGAGGAAAAGGACGTTGTCTCTTTTTTTTCCTTTAAGACGGGATTTTCTTTAGGTTTCCTATCCTCCGGAGAGAGGCCTTTGTTTTACTCTTGTCTTCGGCTTTTAGGTTTCTTTCTTTACTTTTAGAATTTATTTACTTCGTCTGAAAAGCCAGAGCAAGTTTGTCCACGCCCTGGCCAGCCGACCCTCGCCTCACAGAACTGTCTAAGGAGTGTAGACTCCGATACTACCGTATCCTCTCTTCGAAACCCCCCCGACAACTTAGTCGTGCCCATCCGGGCCTCCGGGCCCCTAGAATAGAATACCGGTACATGAGGTTCCAGGATGTTGCATCATAATTCCCCTTTGGCGTTCACCATTCTGGGCACCATATGAACCATAGTGATTCGCTTCGCTCTAGAACATTGAAATAAAGTACAGTAGGAGCTGAAGTACTACTCAACATAGTCTAGAAAAAGCATGGTTTTGGCCATAAGGGGTTAACCGAAGGCGTTCTATTTTGGATGTATGACAGATTGCGAGGAGGGTTCCTGTTCCAGCGTTCCTTACGGGTGGCTGGCAGATATAGGGGGCTAATGCAAAGGCTGGAAGAATTAGACCTCACACTGAGTATCTGCTTGCTGACCCGATTGGCCGGTTCGAGTTGGAAGACACTGGGAAAGGGAGGCGGGTAAGGCGGGGTCACGGCGGAGTCCCAGGTAGTCATCCATGGTGACAGTTCGGGAGTGGATTCTCCCTTTGTCCCGCGGATATAGCTGATCACCGGTAGGTGATGGGGGGATAGAAGGTTGGAAGGAATGTATCAATCATGCGCGGCCACTTGATTGTTTCAGTCCTAACATATGATTCATGTCAAAGTTGTCGTGTAAAATCTCATCATCACCACGCTCTAGTGAGCTAAACAGAATACCGGTACTGTCGTAGGATTGCAACATGGCTAGAACAGCATTTAAATAAAGACTAAATGAGTAAAATGACAAAATGGAGCAGTCAAAAAAAAATTTTAAACAAGGGGAACTGGGTGGGTGAAAAAACATAATTCATGATAAGTTGCCCTCCCTAAACCGATGAACAGCCTAATGAAGAAGAGACATCCCCCTTACGCCCCCCTCTCTTCCCCCCCCTCTCCGCTCCCATAGTTAATGGCCAACCCAACTGAGCTATCCAGTAAACCCATCGCGCCCCTAAATAACTGAGACCCGCCGGGGTCTAAAATAGCCTAAAAAAGGGGAAATGAGCGAGTGAGCGAACACAACCCCTCCGAAGAGTGCGGTGGTTATAGCCCAAGAGATCCACCACCCCTGAGTGCCGAAGAAGCCACCTCTTAACATAACCTAACCCAATGAAAATCTTTCGAGGAATCACGATACACGATATATAGAATGGCCAGCACTGGGATACCGGTTAGCGCTTTGATATTAGCCAAAGAGCTATAATAATAGGTCGCGGACGGGGAAAAGTCACTCCTCGTTCCTCCTACCACATAACTACAACACGGCGTTCCTCCTTTCCTCTTGACGCGTTGGATATGCGTCGGTGCCGGAGTGTGGGGGTGGGAAGGCGGCCCGATCCGATTGTGCGATGGGTCGGTTGTCCGCACCGGTTCGATAACGGCCTTGCATTCCCGGAACCCGGTGTCCCCGGGCTCCCCTCTGGTTCCTCCTAGCACCCCCTCTAGGATGTTCTTCCCAAGCTCGCCTGGGGCCTAGTCTTCTATCTTCTCCGCTGCCTCCTCTATCTCCAACTCCATAGGCTTCAAATTCTCCGCCACAACCACCCTCTAGGCACCAGCACATATTCCACCACATTCTCCATTGTAGTTTTCCCCTAGGTTCCTCCACGGGTGGCACCACAAGCTCTTTTGTGGGGGGAATCCTGGACTCCCCCCCGTGCGGGGCCACAGGCTCCCCAGCTAGCTCCCCTACAGTCTCCCCCCCGGCGGCTCTTAGAATATCCAAACTATCTCCCAATTGCAACGCCGTCACCCCTTGACGGTTCCTAATTGTTTGATCCGCCCCGTTCTCCACCAGAAACTTGACTATTTCAGGGTGATCGAATTGAACAGCTAGGTGAAGTGGAGTATCGCCGAAACTGTTCTTCTTGTTGATTTGGCCAATGTATACTCTGTCCTCTGATCCTGCGAATTTTTCCACCAGGGCCTTCTGCATGTCCAAATGGCCGGAAATGACTGCCTCGTGCAGTGGTGTGCTGCCATCTTGATTTTGCTCTGTGAGGGTGGGTAGGCTGCTCTTAGCAACTAGGAACTCGTATGCCCCGGATGGGAATTTTGCTGCTAGGTGTAGGGGTGACTGGGCGTTGTTTGAGCCATCCGTACCAGCATTGGAATTCAAAAGGGTTTTGACAAGTGGGGTGAGCCCCAGACAGACCGCGACATGCAGTGGCGTCTGCTCGCCCGCTAAAACTTCCATCTTCGGATCTCCACAGTGTTCGATCCAGCGCTTTCGTATGGTATCCCTGGCATCGAAGAACATATAACCCAGCCAGTTACGAGATGGGTCATCACAGAATTTGCGCTCCGCAATCAGGATGCTCCGGCGGGCATGAATGAACCATGATTCCGCGGCGTATTTGAGATATGGCCACTTTGCCTCAGCTTGCTGGCGCTTCTGTGCAGCTTCCCGTGGAGTCTCTGCTCGCATCTCCTGGCGATCCCCCCTTGGAGTTGGTTCCCGGGATCTGTCTTGACGTTCCCTGCCTTTTCCCTTAGGGGGTTTTGCCAAGATTGCAATAGCACGGTGAAGGTGTCGGAAACACTCCCAGGAAATTTCGAGGTCGAGCTCGCTTTTAAGGGGCACCTGCTGCATACCCTGGGGGTTTTCGTCGAAAAGGTATTCTATCGCGGTATGATGGACAATTGATACAGTTGTTTCCCCAGTGCGGAGAAATGACATAGTGGATTGGACACACTGCCTGATTTCGTCCTCTGTTATCGGCTGAATCTCTGTACTTTCCTCCTGTCTGGAGCGCTGTTGTCTATCTCTAACCTCAACTCCCGTAAATTCCAGGATGTGTCTGAGTTCCCCAAATGTGAGGGGGCGCAAAGCGACTGCTACACACCGGATCACCTTTAGAATCTCCTCTAACTCGACATCTCGTAACATCCTCTCGTATATGTTTCTAAGTTCTGATGGGAGACCCCTTAGACAGGTTTGATAGTTATGGCCTGTACAGGAACGTTGCAAATTTTCAACCGCCAACGATGCCCAGAGGAAGGTTCCTTCCGCCTTCGCCAGGAGAATTTCAGTTGCTCCCGTCTTCTGATCGTCCTTCCACCCCCCGAATGCCTCTACTCTGCGCGTGACAAAGGTTTTCAAATCCCCCTTTACAGAATCGTTTTTATCAATGTTGATCCTGGTGCATGCGACAAGGCTATTAGAGATGTGGGGTACGTCCCGGCTAGAAAGAAATATTTTGACCCTGTGGATATCCATGAGCTTTAGAATCCTTCCGATCAATTCTATACACAAGTCCTTATTGAGCCCATCCGCACCGTCGATGAGAATGTATACGGAGCCTGCGGGGCATCTCTTGATCGCTTGTCCTAGAACCCTCCATAGGGAATTCGGGTTGGTAAAAAATTTATCCCCTTGAGTTCTAAGTTCTGTCTTGCAGCCATCGAAAAGGCTCCCGTCCTGCTGTAGAATGCTATATAGTAAGTCCCAGGCTGCTTTGGCGATCCTGCTTCTTCGTGACTCGGCCTCATCAGTAGCTGTCTTTCCTGTGGGAAGTTCGGGCGCCGCGAAGTGGTAAGCAAATCTAACCCCTCTAGGAGGATCCAGGGGTCCTAGGAGAAATTTGGCCGCAACACGTTTGGCCAACATTGTCTTCCCCGTCCCAGGGCCACCCCAAAGCCAGAGAAGCTGGGATGCTTCGCTAGCCTGCCACTCCTTGTACCAAGCTTCTTCGAAAATCCATTCTCCGGTGCCTTCCTCAGGCATGTTATGCCTGTCGCGGAGATAATCCAGGTCAATCTCGGGTGGCAATACCCGCAATCGGTTGTTCGCTAACAGCTCCTCCAGGGTTTCTAAGCAGATTCTTAGCCAAAAGCGGCAAGAAAAGACTGTCAACAAAAGGTTGCGCACCGGGGACATCTGAAGGTGCTAGTGTACTATAGTTATGTGTGATAGATATTTTGAAGCTGTCGTTATTCCCAGAGTAGTTTCCGGGGATATGACTTTGGGCGGTTGACATTTTGGATGAGTTTGAACTGATGTCCCATTAGCCGATCTGGACCCATATGGGAAAACCACTTAGCGGTATACTTTGCTGCTAGCTTTCCACCAGTAGATATTTCGAGTTTTTTAGGATAAGAACGCGGGTTATCGCCTTAACTAGCCTAGTAGTAGATAACCAATATTACCGAGCACAGCGAGGTGGAGGGATGAAGGATGGGTACAATTCCAGAAGGAGAGGGAGAAGCAGGCGCACTAATACAATAATCACACATCGAAAAATAAATGCACCACCACGCTGGAATTCTCCTTGACCACGCAAGGGGAAAGCACAGCAATCTCAGCTCCTCAGTCAAGGCGGGACATAGGGAATACACACAACACCCTTCCAGGAGAGGCGGCTACTGTATTGCACTTGTACTGTGCTGCGTACTACCTTCTTTCTAGGTTTTTGCTATACTCTTGGTTCGTCCTATGCTATGTCTAAGACGTCTTGCTCAGAAATAACTAGATCCGGAAAGTCCCTTCTCACAAGTGGCAACAAATTGCAAAAGTTCCAAATCAAGACCTCTCCCAACCTACCTCATAGACGCAGTGACCTGCTACGGGATAAGTTAAGGCGACCTAGTGAGGGGAGGCATGGTGCATTATTTTATTCCCGAGATTCCCGGTATGCGCCTCGGAGTATAGGTAGGGATACGGGGTATCGAATATATATACAATTGACAACAGAAAATAGGAGATTACAATAATAGTTGAACCCGGTTCAGGGAAGCAACCCTCACAGAATGCCTGGGAGACTAAATTGAGTCTGAATTGGGGGAAATATACTACTTGTAGTGTATATTTGTTGCGGCTCCCTGAGATCACGCAATGCGAGTGATCAACAACAGAGATCAAGAATGAAGGGTTAGGCTGCATAGGAATTTTTTTCTTTTTTTGAGTATACACGGTACTGGTATATACACTCTCATAAATCATATCACATTCCAAAGTAAACTAATTCATTGGATGCATAGCATTGTACCACACTTCAGCTCCAGTTCGGATTTCAGATGCAGTATTTCACTTCTCTCCACCTGCACTGCAATGATCATGGATGAGGCGCTCTTCCCGGGTGTCACCATTTAGCCTGCCGGTAAGTTATCTGCCCTAGTATGCCGATACGAGATGGGGCTCAATCCCCCTCTTCCTGGTCTCCCCAAGATGTAACAATGATTCCCTAACCCCGTGAGGAACGCGCGCAATAGGATGTGATACTTGGCCCCACCCCAAACTCCGGCACCCCTCCTCTCATAGGTATCAGAGGACACAGGCCGGAAGGAAAATACCAGTTACAGGGAGATTCCTGGACCCTGCAGGCAATCAATCCCAGCACTCAACCCCACAGCCGTGATGAAAACTACGTGCACTGTAGGTAGAAGGCTCAAACGCCCACACTCGTGGATCATGATCGCTTTATATCGGTAAACAAATACCATTGTAAACTCTGTCAATCTAACGACTGCCAACTCGGGCGGATTTCCGAAAAACTGAGAAAATTTTATTCTTGGTTACTTGAATACCTGGTAATCGGCTTCCCTTCTCCAGCCGTTAAACTCTACTTTTGGCGGCAACCCCAGCGGCTGACAAATGCAAAACCAACACTCTGTGGTACTCGGGCAATCGAGAAAAAAAAGGAGGGGTTAGTTATGCTACCGATATAGAACTCAACTTTTATCATTAGGAAGCCCCTTTCAGCCCCACTAAGGGAGCTATGGCAATTCCTTTACCAGTATCCCTCAACACAATATAAGGGTTTCGGAGAGAGTAGTGGCTTAATTCTGGCCTGTTCAATAGCAACTGGTCCTAGGTGGGTTTAGGTCTCGCCCGTCACCCAAGAAATATCTTACCGGTGTGGAAATATCTCGGTTGACCTCCGGGATCGGATTGTGTTTTCGACCAGGTTGAGCCTGTGAATCTTGGGTTACTTAGTATTGCTCTCTGACCTCGTATATGGTTGGACAAGGTGGTGGAAAATATGTGTGATTGACGACTGTGCAATGTGACCGATAACGTAAAGTAAAAGGTGATGAAGTAGGTTCCAATATACAGTAGATAGGCGGAAAGCAGTATCTATTGGTGTGGTGGGTGGTGTTTGTCGCTCATGTCTAATATATAAAATAGGGTAGGAATGTTGGTAAATTGGGCCACCGTGTCCGATCGGAGGTTCCAGTATTCCAAAACTTGTAGCTATTGTGTGTGGTCGGTATCACCGTGGCAAGAATGGTCTTACTGTTTTTTTACTGTTCCGACGTGGGGTGGTAATTTGCGTTATCTCGGTACTTGTTAAGCTCTTGCGCTGTGTAAATAGAATCTAGAACTCCGAAATCCCACTTTATCATGGAGAATAGAATTATCATAGAAAGAGCGATCCCTGACCCTGCGGTACGAAATCCCTCCAATAATCATTGGATACCGCGGTTTGAAATCGACCTCATGCGGGGTGTGGGATCTTGGTGTTTGGGGGGTGGTAAAGAAAACATGCCCAGATTATTAATGCCAATACCGGTAGTGAGAGTAATTGAACTAGTATGGGGCCACAGGGTAGGTTCTAGTGTGTACCGTGGGGAAAACTTGCGTCCGGTCCATCCTGAATTCAGGAAAATCTCCCATCACTGCTTTTAAAAACCTTTCCCTAAAACCGGGTTTCTGCTGTCGGTCATTTAGCCGGCTGCAACCCCTCCTCAAGCACACTCCAACCTGGGCTACGCCCTCAGGGCATGCTTGGATGTTATGATATTGCTGGGATTCTTGACGGTCGCAACGCAAAACTCGAGTTTCTTGGCGATCTCGGAGGATTTCAATATTTGGCGCGTATCGATGCTTGGTGCTTAAAATTGGGGGGATCGCATACCG